AAAAAGATTGTTCTGAGAACGTGAGCAATCCGATCGGTCTGGACCCAACAAATTTGTATACGGTTGGTCTGTTACGCCATTCACTTCCCTCGGCACCAACACGCGTCATCAACCGGCTGGGTGGCGTGCCCTCACGCACCTGCGGGCTGGATGGCGTGCCCTCGCACCTGCGGGCTGGGTGGCGTGCCCTCGCACCTGCAGGCCGGGTGGCGTGCCCTCACGCACGCAGGGTACGAGCGAGCGAGTGAGCGAGCTCCGTGTAATTGTCTGGGAGTCTGCGTGGCTCTTTAGTCACGGCGTACCGCGTGCATCCGTTCCTGAGGTTGAGAAGCCAATGTCCGCCCCCCCCCCCCAAGAGAAATCTCGCTGCGACTGGCGCGGGCGGCTATAGCGGCAGCACGGCCGAGCCGAGTCAGCGCTTTAGGCTCGCGGCCGCAGCTTGGAGGGCGATTGGTGGCGTCTTGTCCCTCCAAGCCAGACGCAGCGCCAGCACCGCAAGGAGTCGATACCGCGATGTCGGCGACGGTAATCGTTGCAATAATTAATAATAACAATTAGCGCTGGGCGATGTGAGCGGCCGCGAGACATTGTTGATGGTTGGCCAGGTGGCGAGAATGGAACGAGGCAGGAAGGATGTCGGTGTCGCGTTGTACGGCCCCGGTTTGATTCCTGCTCATGGTCAACATCCGGGGCGCATATCTTAAGCGGTCCTGGGCTTCTTCACCTTTGTCGACTCGGACCTAAGTGATCGCAGTGGCTGGTGGACTGCGTAAACATCGGCGCTGGGGAGGCAAAGTTGGCCCGACATGATGCTGGACGCATCACCTCCTTGTTGCCGCCGTGCCCGACTTCATAGGTGCTCACAAGCAGCACTTGCCCCAATGGTCTGTCAAGGCTTTCGTCGCACAAGGGAAACTAGACGAGGTGTAGGGTCCCGCCTGGCCGGCTAACGATGTCACCTGGTATTCACTATGAGACCTCCTGCCACTGGTAAAGGAGGTCTCATAGTGTAAATGCTTATCCCCGAGCTCTCAATAGTTTGAGTGGTCCATCAGTCTGCCTTTTGGCGTCATCTGGTCCAACACCAATGGAGACTAGGCTCTAAGAAAAGCTGTCTCGGGTGTGGACCAATCAACTTCAAGGACAGTGCATATCATTATTATCATCAGAGTTGTTTCTTTTTGTTTGCATTTTGACTGCTTGTGTTGTGGTTGTTGCAAACATGATGCCTTGTATAAAGGTGTCAGTTGTTGTACCAGGCGAAAGGGTAAAAACCTATTACTATCACCTGGTATTGTTGCGTGGATTTTTCTCCGGGTCCTCCAGTTTTACCCTCCGCATTTAGAAACATGCATTTAGAATATTTGGCTGCTATAATTTCCACGTGATCACAAGCCACTTCGTTGACCTCTCATTTGCGGCGGCCAGGTCGCGTCTGAAAAAGAGCTATAGATCCCAGTGGGCCTTATCTGGTCAAATAAAATAGTAACAAAAATATAGCTTCACCCAGCCTGACAGAGCGACTGCTGCTCTGTGACGGGGAGCGGTTCTGACCTCGCCCGATTGGGTGCTCGAGATTCAGGAGCAGGGTGGGTGGCGCCCAGTGCCGGATGATCCTAGTAGCACAAGTAGCTACACATGTAGTAGTTACACATGTAGTAGCTACATTTGTAGTAGCTACGGGCCCCGCACTTTCAAGGGCCTCGCGCTAAACTCTTTCAAGCTATCAATTCCGGTTCAGTGATTCTGCACATGCTCTATTACTATAGTACTATACCGCCTTCAACTTTTATGAACGACTGGGTGTTTAGGGTTACAGATTTGTTGTATTATCTGGCTGTATAGCAAATGAAAACATACATTTACTTTACTATGCAAGTTAAAAATGAATTTTAATATGTACGTGTTTTTATTTTATTTAGGGCCCCTTGATAACATCATATGCTACAGGCCCCGCACTAGCTTAATCTGGCACTGGTGGCGGCGGAGTCTTAGCGGCGAGGTCACGCAAGGCGACGTCGGCATCATGTCAAACCACCTTGAATGAATGTTCTGCTCAAAAGAGCAGTCGGTGGTTGGAATTCCACATTCTTATGGCGGGGGAGAGTTAATTCATAAGGCAGGCCAACACTGTTGACTTCACACAAAAAGGTAGGCATTTTATTGACCCTGGAAGGATGAAGAATTTGAAATACACTGTGTGTATGATTGTTGAAAAACCCACCGTAAAACCGCGGTGAGAAGTACAATAATAAAAGTGCAATAATACACTGAAATAAAAGACGATGTGGATGTAAAATGCGTTGCATTGAAAGACAACGCATTGGATTTAAATGCAAGCCAATGCGGATTTGAAATGCATTGTATAGAAATACAATGCAAAAGTGTATCAGCAATAAGCAAAGAGGCCACTGTCTCCTTCAGCTGCGAGCTCAGTCTGTAGTCCTCGTTCGCCACTCTCCTGTGGCATGCTGGAAAGCAGAGACAATAAGCCGTGAACAAAAAGCAAAGCTTGCACTGACATGGAAATGTGGGTTCATGTTGATTCTGGCGAATGAATTGACAAGGGGCTAGGCGAGTGGATGGCATGTGCCAGCCAGCGTGGGTAGCCGGCAGACAGACGCAAACGCGCCTCTGCAGGTTATGGAAAACTTTGCCAAAAAAATCAACCAGAGGAGAAGCCGCTCTTGATAATTTTATTTTCTTTGGCTCGGTAGCGGAAATGTATTGTTTGAAATGTCTACGAAGGCCACCGATTGCTACGTTCGTTGGGCTTTTAGGCAAATACATTACAATATAGTGTATTGTGTGCGCGCACGTGCGCCTATCTGCGTGAGTGTGTGCGTGTGGCGGGGAGCGGTGGTGTAGCAGTTAGCGCTACGCTGCGCCACGAACCCGGGGTCGCGAGTTCAATTCCACCACTAGTGACGATTATCTGAACCGGTCCTGGGCCTCCCCTAGGTCGATTCGGCCTTAAATTCGGTGTGTGAACGTCGCCACTGGGGCCTGCCTTCATAGGTGCTAGCTAACAGCACTTGCCCAAGCAGTCTGTTAAGGCTATACGGGGGATCTTTGTCTTTGTTTGTGCATTTGTGCTTACGGCCACTAACACCGTGACAATTATCTGAACCGGTCCTGGGCCTTTCCTAGGTCGACTGAACTTCAAATGAGTACCTGGTGCAATGTGTAAACATCACCCCTGAGGAGAGAAAGGCGGCCGGGCGTGGTGCTGGCCACCCACCCCCTAGTGTGCTACACTGGCATTCGTAGGTGCTCGCTAACAAGTTATACTGTGGATCTTTGTATTAGCACGAAGACACGTCGATGTGTGAGAGTGTGGCGTGCATTGTACCCACAAACAGAACTTGCCCAAAATAGCCCGTTGAAGGCTATACGGGGGATCTTTGTCTTTTGGTCTTGTGCATAGTTGAGTGTTTTTGTGTTTTTGGGTGTACATCTTTGTGTGTGTATGAGTGACTGTGAAAATGTATTTTATTAGTTTGTATTTTGAAGGAGTGCCAGTTTGAATCATTCAGGCTGGCTGATGATCCATCCTGGATTGTGTGAAGAGCTTACAGAATCTTAAAAGATCTGAAAATAGTCCCATCAACGAGCCCTTCAGCAGGCGAGACTGTATTGGCTGGGTCATGTAACCCACAAGCCCAGGCACCGCATGCTCAAGCAGCTTCTGTTTGGCCAGACAGAGGGGGTAAAACGCGAAATGACATGGGCTGGAGAGGAGATGGGCTGATGCGGTACAGAAGAATGTGGAGCTGATTGGAATTGACGATCACTGGTACCAGCGGTGTCAAGATCGCTCTTTGTGGAGGAGGCTCGTGAAGTTACGCTACTGAGCAGTTGCCCTCCAACAACAGTGGAGGGCAGAGAAGCGACGCTCACAATAACGAGTGACACAATAACGAGCGGAGCGTCTGGCAGTTAATACGCAGCAAATTGGCACAGTGAGGACCACACGTGGTACATCTGCCAGTCATCTTATCTTAGTCAACCCATGGCACCTGGGTCTGTCCCATGGCCTTCTGCCAGGAAGCCTGCCACACTTAACGTGAAACCTGCGTGAGTGGTCCATCAGTCTGCATCTTTGTTTCTGTGTGGGCCCCTTCCATGGGCTGGAGGAGCCCAGGGCAACCAGGCTATGAAGAGGTAAGGGGGGGGAGGTTGTTGTAAATTGGACAGGGAGACCCCATTTCATTCCTTAAACCAAGGCCCACGCCAACCAAGCTACCCCACTGCATTAACTACAAGGAGTCACACAGCCAGTCATCCAAAGATAAGAGCGACACAATTTGGGGAGAAAAAAAGCCGCATAGCAACATCACCCACTGCTGGCAGACTAATGCCAAACTTCCATGCCGGTGCAGCGTTCCCCTTGCAATGTACAGCGACAGCTGCCACCGGGGGTCCCCTAGGCTTATCTACAGAAAGCCATTGGAAAGGTTGAGATGAGCTGCTGTGCAAGGTGCTTCAAGTTGACTTTAAACGTTGGTTTCCGTAGCCAGTACTATGATCAGTACTCTTAGTTCTTTCGGTAAAGTCACGTAGGTAAAAAATAAAATAATATTAATTATAAATTTTAATTTTATTTTTTACCTACGTGACTTTACCGAAAGAATTAAAAGTATGAATCCTTGCAGTCACGAAAGCTGCAAATCTAGAACTATGATCAGTGTTTGTTTTTGGGTTCGGCCTCGTAGTAGTAGATTCATGCCAAAATTCTTGTTCATAACCCTCCACCACCCAATAAGATTGCCATGTTTACAACGATATTATTTATACGTGCCAATATATTGATCAAATTCTCAACAATAATACTCCACACCGATGGTTTTAAGACTTTTCGCCTTGCATTACCGATACATTTAGGCTCCATATGATCGCAACTTCTTATATTTACACCTACCCAACGCCGCCACTGCATCGCGCACGCGCGTTAGTTTCTGTGGGTAATCTTTGCCGCCTTTGTCCTCCGTGTGTGTCAGACTCGGACCCGGGCAAGGCCGGACACGGAGCAGAAGCTGCAGGCCCTTCCTTGCGGGGGTACGACCCGTGCGCGGGAGGCCGCTGCGCCCAACCGGCCGCTCGACCGCTGGTCGACACGGGCGCCATGGTGTTCCTCGTCTTCGGGGTCCTCAGCCTCAACCGCAGCGCGACGGCCGAAGGTCACGGTGGTCGCGACGACAACCACGTCATCCCCAGCACCGTACGTTGCCCTCCGAGCCGCCAGTGGAACTGCCACCTGTGCCGGCGTTTTGTGCAAAGCAAGCCGCCGTCTGTACGTGCAGGCGCTTTGTCAAAGTGACCCGGCCACAGTCCTGTGCGCACGCGCGGTGGAGTAGCTGTCGGGTGTGCAGGGTATGGGTTCCAACTTGCCTGGTTTTCCTAGAATCCTCCAATCAGCTATGCATGCTGTTGGGGCAAGCACCGTTGGAACGAGTGCCGTTAGGGCAAGTGCTGTTGGGGAAAGTGCTGGCTCAAACTATGTTTCAGTGTGAGCTTGGCAGGTTGGGTTTTTTCATTTTTAACTGCGACACACGACGCCAATCGCAGTTGATACCTGCATTTGGCTGGACTTCCTGTAGATTGACTCGGCATGATGTTCGTTAATCATTAAAAAAGATAGCTGCGCTTATAATGCAGACAGACGGGTGCTTGTACCAAGTGCTGATCTGAGACCAATTGGAACACAAGAAATCAATCGATGAGATAATTAGTTTCCACTTCTATTCAAACAAAAAAAATCACGGAACCAATTCAGTAATTTGAGGACGGTGTCAAAACATGATTATTTTTTTGTTGTGTTAACTGCTCACATTTACAGACAATTTGAAACCCTGGAGGGAGGTGGCACACATTCATGAAAAAAACACGTGTCCGTGCAGATGACATGACGGCTAGAATGTTGGGGCGACGTAGCACATTACGGATGCGGGGAATGTGTTGAGGTCGTTATGACGGTATCTTTTGACGCTGCCGACACGTTGCGGAGAGGTTTTTTTTTTTTTAAGATGACGAACGGCGCCGCATCCCCCGTGTGATGCGGGTAAAGGTCATCGTGTGAGGGCAGCTCCGTTTCAATATGCGTTCGTCCCTTGGAGAATATTTTGCTCCAATAACCCGGAACAGAAATCTGATGGTCAACATATTGGCCTGATCGAATTTTTTTTTTTGTGACCAGTTCTGGAATTTTTAATGCCTTTCTATGGGATTGTGAGTGTGTGTGGGACTCGCGTTACAAAAATGAATGCAATCATTCCCATAATCGCTCTCTCACACTGAACAAAAGTAAAATTTTGGGAGAATTTGTGTTTTTATTGCGGGGTGGTTGTGGCGTCAGAGCACAGAGCCAACACCGCTGAGGTCCTGGGCTCTAAATCTGCATTTAAGCCACTGCCAGTGGTTAAACTGGGTTGTGTTAAAAACACACACAAAAAACCCATCATATTAAAGTGAATTCTTTTTCACTTTTTTGAAAAAAATGATACGCTTACTCTATCGCATGACTAACATTTGTTTGTAGCAGGGAATGTGGGAAATTGCATAGCCTAGTGTGGAGAAAAAAAGGTAATTTGAAGAGATTTCATAAGTAGTTCAATGACATATCCTTCTGCGGACAGTTATTTGAACAGCGATGATGCATTGTTCTGCGGGAATTCCAAACGGGTGCTCCGTTCTCATGGCGTGACATCAATAGCGCAATCAGCGTCAATAGAACGGCTGAAATAAAATTGAGAAACCACGCAAAAAATGTAAGCAATGGCAGCGTGTGCGCAGGCGTGTCTGTTGGCTTTCGCACTTTGCATGCTTCCATAAGCGCCCCCCTTGCGCCCCCCACCACAAGGCAGGTTTTATTTTTATTTTTGCCGAGGGGAAGTTCACACCTCCGTGATATTTCCAGCAGCTGTGAAGCGGAGCGCATGGCCGCCTCGTTCATCTTGGGCCACATTTCCCCGTGCCGCCCGCATCGATGGTTGCGGATAGGGCCAGCCCAGAAGCCCCTCGTGTCCCCTTTCTCATCCGTCGCAAGCACTCTGTGTGTGTATGTATGTTGAACTTCTTTCGCACCATACGTAGCCTACCGTGCTAACCCGAGGTGCGGGGGAGGGTCAACAAACTAAACATAACAGCAGGTTCTGAAGAAATTCGTTTTCAATCTAGATTTCAAAGTTCACAGCTCCAGTTGTTTTCAAATATCGGAAGGAAGAACATTCCAGATGGCCACAGAAGTGCATCTGAAAGCGTGTGATGCGGTGATCTGTCTGGGTTCGATGTGGCTTTTGGCTGGCCAGAGTTCGCGTGATGATTTATGCTCCTTTACGAGATCAGCAAGGTATTGTGGTTCATTTGATTGTGACCTTACAATGTATTCGTTCGGCTACCGGAAGTCAATGCAGCTCAGCGAGCACTGGACAGACATGGTCGGCACTTGCAGTACCCGTCACTGCATATTACGTAATGATTAGTACCTCCAATTAGCATGGTTAGTTACATACAGTGCGAAAGAAGTTCAACATATGCACACGAGTAATGACGCATTGGCTCATAGCAGCCAAAATCGATGTTTGGGCTCACGTGGTACACGCATCGAAAATGTGTGCGCGTGAGAAAAACTACTATTTACGATTCGTGCGAAATTGTGGAATGCTGACGTGGTGCCATGGTTAGCACGCTGAAATTACGATCAAGATGTCGCGGTTATTTTAGTTTATCTCCCAGTGCAGCGTTTGCAACGATGGGTCACGTTTCTTAAATCCCTCTGCCTCTGTCCGCCCAGCAGCATGAATGAGTTCAGGGCAGTTTGTCAATTGGCAGGTTGCATGCGGTGGGGTAAAGCGAGGGTAAATTCCACGTCTTCCAAGACGCCTGCCCTGCGTGGAAGAGTAGGCCAAATACCTCTCTAGGCGGGCTCTCTAAGAGCTCGCTCTAGCGGAGGCCCTTCTGCCAGCGGTGGCGTGAGCGAGCAGTTACAGGGCTGTACCTTTACGCTCTGTCCTTGCATGTGAATGATATGCTAATGTTACCTATAGGCTAATGGAGCGAACAAAACTGTACAGACGAGACAAAATCAAATTGCTGCACAGAATCGTGCCAATTCATCAAATTGCTGGCGGGGTTGGAGTGAATGATGACATGCCTAGTGGCGCGTGCGTGTGTAATAGATAGATCATGCGTGTTCTCTAGAGTGGCTGCCTCCTGCCACACGAATGTGGAATGTCCAGCATCACACACACCCCCCCTTCCAACTAGTTTTAGGGAAACGCTTTTACCCTGCTGATATTTATACGAACGCTCCTTTACAGCATGAAACAAATGTCTACGTTTGTACGTGGCTTAAAAAAAAAACATGGTACGTTCCCAACTTATAAGGAAACTTTCAATTTATGAAGAGCCAGTGCGGTGAGATAACGGCGCTGCTGAATTGAAAGAACGAGGTTGTAGAATACTTGTGGGCAGGCTTATGCCAAGTCAAATGCATTTCAAGAGCTCTTCTTGTCACCTTTAACTCGAAGCACATAAATGCCCAAAGGCAATACGTTAACAATGCTAAGTATGCTTTCGAACGTAAACGAAACGACAGCCGTCGTCGTCGTCGCGAAAATGTACATCGTATCATCAACACGACGAACGATTTTTTTCGATTTAAAGCTTTCGTGACTGCAGGGATTCATCTTCTTGGTTCTTTCGGTAAAGTCACGTAGAATGGAAATAATAAAATAATAAAAATTAAACATAATAAAAAATTTCTCACGACGTTTCGGCCACAACGCAAGCAGCCGTCCTCAGGTGAAGAACAGGTCTGTCGGAAAGACAGCGTCTGAATGTGAAACGTCGTGAGAATTATTTTATTGTGTTTTATTTTTATTATTTTATTATTTCCATTCTACGTGACTTTACCGAAAGAACCAAGAAGACGACGAACTATGTCACAAAACCAGAGCTCAGTCGACGTCCTCCGGCCGGCTTGAGAACCTCGCTCCATCGACTCACCCTTTAATCACCCGGCGGGCGATGTGGTTGGAAAACCTCGGCAGCTGGAGAGACAAAGTTTAGCCAAGCTGTGGGGGCGGTGGTGACCACATCGCGCCCCCCCCCTTTTGTTTAGCGTGCACGGGGGGGGCCTTCAATAGGTGCTTGCTAGCGGCACTTGCCCCCCACCCCCCAACAGGCCTACGCAGAGACCTGCAGGAGTGTGACGCGGGGTGCCCCCGGGAATGTCTGGACGCGTCGACGAGGAGTGAGGCGATGGCTTCCTTACGGCCGTTTTACAAAGGGGGGGCTGGTGGGGGTCTATAACTGTGTGACTATTTTACAGAGGTGGGGGGGGGGGGGTGCACGATTGTGTAGCGAGGAGTATGGGCCATGGGGGGGGGGGGGGGCTGATAGAAGTTGTCACAGTTTCATCTTCTTGGTTCTTTCGGTAAAGTCACGTAGAAGGGAAGTAATTTTTAAATCCTTTAGAATTAAGTTCGCTTGCTTGCTTGCTTAGGACCGTGCAAATCTTTCGTTCGTTTTTTAACACACTTCCCGTGACCCAATCGAGCTGACATTTTGCACACAGACTCGTTGTGCGTGAGAATGAATTTTCGTGAAAATTTTTTTCCAAAATGTTACACTGTTTATGGAAAAAAATTTAAATATTTATTTACCAATTGGTTAATGCTGGCACACAATCATCTGACCCATAGGTGGCAGCCATCTCAAGCCAGAAGACGAGAGGACTCTAGCCGCCCCAATGCCACGCATATAAAGGATTTATAGTGAAAAGCTTTGTTTTTACGGGTTAATTTTTTATTATTTTATTACTTCCCTTCTACGTGACTTTACCGAAAGAACCAAGAAGATGAATCCCTGCAGTCACGAAAGCTTTAAATCGAAAAATTATCACAGTTTGTTTGCTTGCTCTATGGAGGAGCTGTAGCTAAAGGGGGGTAGGACGTGAGGTAACTTAATTTAGCTCTGTCAAGGAGCTGTAGCTGAGCGGATGAAGACGTGAGATGGCTTAATTTAACTCTGTGAAGGAACCTGTAGCTGAAGGGATAATACACGAGCTGGCGTAGTTTACCTATGGCGCAGCAAGAGCTGAGGGGGATAAAACGTTAAACTCATCGACAACCGGCACGACAGCAACAAATGCATGCGTATATATATATTCTCACAGTTGTTTGCGTTACTAACCGCTGTTTATTTTTAAGCTGCGCGGCA